TGCTGACACCCCCCCCCCAACCCCACCACACACACACACACACACACACCCCTTCCTTGCTTCTGTGGGACTCTTATATATCCACAGTATCCCACAAGTGTTCACTAAAGCAGGGGTTCTCAATGTTTTCTTTTCTGAGGCCCCCCCTTCTCCCCTAAGATGCAATTAAAAACTCCATGGCCCACCTCATAGACTCATAGACTTTAAGGTCAGAAGGGACCATTATGATCATCTGGTCTGACCCCCTGCACGCTGCTCTGTCACAACAACTGTTTTTCTGCATATAAAAGCCAGGGCAATTGCCCAGAGCCCTACACGATGGGGGGGCCTGCAAAGCTAATTTGTTTAGACTTTGGCTTCAGTCTCAGGTGTGGAGGCTCAGGGCCCTAGGCTGCAGTGCCATGGGGTGGGGATTTGGCTTTCTACCCTGGGCCCCAGCAATTGTAATACTGGCCTAGCTTGGTGGACCCTCTGAAACCTGCTTGTAGCCCTCCCTCCCCCCAGGGGGCACTGGACCCCTGATTGAGAACCTCTGCACTAAATGATACCTTACATTTACTCCTCACAATCCATGGGCAGCATTATCCCCATTTTACAGATAAGGGAATGAGGCACAGATGTGAAGTGACTTTACCAAGGCCACACAGTCAGTCTCGGGCAGAGCTGGAGCATGAACCCAGGAAGTCCTCACGGAGTCCTTTGCACAGTCCCTTGACCACAGTGTCTCTTTAGTACGATTGATTAGAGATCTACCGCCCTTTCAATCACCAGAATGGAGACAGACTAGTGTAACTTTTTCCCCCTCAACATATTTTCTCTATTTAGATTCATGTTCCTGTGCCCATCACTGTAGTACTTGTATCCTGGTACTTTACTCAACTATCACTATCCAACCAGACTCTGAGGCTACATCTACACTACAGGGGGGAGTCGATTTAAGAAACGCAAATTCAGCTACGTGAATAGCGTAGCTGAATTCGACATCTTGCAGCCGACTTACCCCGCTGTGAGGACGGCGGCAAAATCGACCTCTGCGGCTTCCCGTCGACAGCGCTTACTCCCACCTCCGCTGGTGGAGTAAGAGCGTCGATTCGGGGATCGATTTTGGGACGCGATAAATCGATCCCCGAGAGGTCAATTTCTACCCGCCGATTCAGGCGGGTAGTGTAGACCCAGCCTGAGTGATCACCTCCCTTTAAAATAGAGACAGCACCTTTACCAGCTCCTATCATTACCAAGGGACTGTGATTACAGCAGAATAATATTTTTTATGAGGTACTGTGGGCCAGGACTACAACAGCAGGGGTATGTACTACAATGGATCGTCAGTTCAACTTCCATTGATGGCAGTGAGTGTTGTATAAAAACTGAGGGTATACAACCATAATTTCCTTTTGCAGCTGCCCTTCTCAGAGGCACTGGAGCCTTGTTTCAGCTGCTGTATAGTGGCCCAAATCACAGTGCAATTTTACATTGGCATGGATTAATAAACTGATCGGACCATAGACCACCAGCCTGACACTTATGCCATGTTCCAAATCTTCCTCACCAACAAAGTAGTCTGTCCTGCATGTGTCCATGTACAGATACTTTGGGAAGCTGAGTGAGTGCACCCTCTAGTTCAACCCCAAACTGCACCAATAGGGGAGGAAGGGATAGCTCAGTAGTTTGAGCATTGGCCTGTTAAACCCAGGGTTGTGAGTTAAATTCTTGAGGGGGCCATTTAGGGATTGGGGCAAAAATCTGGGGATTGGTCCTGCTTTGAGCAGGGGGTTGGACTAGATGACCTCCTGAGGTCCCTTCCAACCCTGATATTCTATAATTCTAAGTGCTAGTGTCAAAATTTAGTTGGGAGTAATTGAACTGCTAGATTATTTACCATGGACCTACGTCAAAGAACACTTCTTACCTCTTCACAACTACAACTCTGTGCATGTCACTTGGCACATGGCACATTCATTCAGATTAATGGAATGTCACAACATAACAGACATTGGGCCAAAATGCCCAATATATCTGCTAACCCCTGCTCAAAGCAGGACCAATCCCCAGACAGATTTTTGTCCCAGATCCCTAAATGGCCCCCTCAAGAATTTAACTCTCAACCCTGGGTTTAGCAGGCCAATGCACAAACCACTGAGCTATCCCTCCCCAATATACAGGTTATTTATTATACTCATTCCTCTCTCCAATTTATCCAGCATGGGCTTCCCTTTTATTTTCTGATTCCCCATCATGCCACGCTGCCTGGTTAGGAATGGTAAGACAGATATCAAGAAACTCCCATTCATTCTTGACCTTTAATCAGTTTTATTTCCCAGGCTCCCATTCCCTGCAGTAATCTCAATACTGTACTTCAGCTCCAACCAGAATAGACAAGCACTTTTTTTCCCACACTGTAAGATTGCTGGGGCAGGTGCTATTTCTTACTGCATGTTTGTACAGCACCTTACACAATATGGCTCAGATCCTGAGTGGGGCCTGTGGGTACAACCACAATACAAATACGAAAGTGTAACTGCTAATATTGCTGCTAGGCCTGGCACAGGTTGCTGCAGAGTGACCAGGCCTATCCATTACCCTTGGATATTTTTCAATGCCCATCCTCTTAAATCTGGTGACATGTCCGCAACATTTGCAGAATTGGGGCAAAAATCTCATCAGAAGTTGCCAGCAGTTTCTTTGGCTATACATTGGCCCTTATAATTATGTACAGTAATGTTAAAAAACAAAGACTTTGTAACCATTTCTTGGGAAATCAGTTACATAGTATGATCTCAAGCTGCTAAGTATGCTAAACTCCCATGGGTGTCAATGGGAGATGAGTACACACACAGCCTCACAGGATGAGCTGCTTCTATACAATAACACAATAATTCCATACTGTGTTCCACACACACAAATAGAAAAATCTACTGGTTTGTCATCAATGTATGTCAGCAATTTACCATTCTTTCCATCCATTATAATCTTTGTATTTAAGAGACAGCTAGATAAAGGATGCCACACTGGAAGACCCAGAGAGGATTAAATATTACATTGTGTTAGTGTTGTGTTACTCATGTTTCACTCCCTCTTCCCCATCAAAATAATGGAGAAGGGAAAGAGGGCGTTTGATTAATGTGGGTTAATGTCTGTGGGCCTCAGAGAAGAAGTGAGTGTTTAGGAGAACATAATGGCCATAATGGGTTTGACCGATGGTCCATCTAGCCCAGTATCCTGTCTTCTGACAGTGGCCAATGCCAGGTGCTTCAGAGGAAATGACTAGAACAGGCAATCATCAAGTGATCCATTCCCTTTGATCTACTCCCAACTTCTGGCAAGGGCTACGGACACCCAGAGTAGGGGGTTGCATTCCTACCCATCTTGGCTAAAAGCCATTTATAGACCTTTTCTCTATGAACTCTGAAGCAGAGGCAGATAGATATTCGAGTTATTCACAAAGGGAGGCAGGAGCCAAAAAATGAAGGATGAGGGAGGAATAGAGTAGCAGAGACTTTTTTCCTCCTCCATCATTGCAGGAGGCTGAGAGAGACAGCGTTTTGGAGATCCATCTCTTCACAGGAGGTGGAAGGCTTCAGCAGAGGGATAAAGAGAAGAGCCTTGCTTTAAATTTAATTTGGCCAGTTAATAAAACAGCTTGAATAAGAATCCAAATAATGTTTTAATATTTGTTTTAAGATAGTGAACATGTAAACCTGGAAAATATTAACTGCGGCTTTTTAGCCAGCCTGGGGGCAATGCCAGTCTGCTGACAGTGGCTTCCAGTTATGCTCACGCCTGCTTTGGAAATGATGCTTGCTCTCCGGAGAGAATGATTGTAAACACTCCCTGCTGGCC